GTCTTTTAAATACTTTTAAAACGTAATTTCTCCACACATGTATGTTTGACCGGTTTTGCAGTGTACACTGTAAAATAATCTCCGTTTAAATCAAAAGAGTTTATTTACAGATGGTAATTCTGCGGCATCGAGCATACGAGACCAAAAACACTTGGTCTGATCTTGTTTTCCTTCTTTTAATCTGATCTTATCTTTATTTTTCATTCAGCTCTTAAACAAGTGTCACATTTCAAAGACACATCAGACGTGATTAATGCCCATTATAACACCACACTTGCCGTATCCCATAATCCCTCATTCCACTGGTTAAGCTTATAATAACAGCACTCTCACGCTGTGCTTGAGTTACTGAGGAAATTCACTCGTATCTTTACACAAAGAAAACCTTGTTTTCCGCTGCACTTACAAACCTATAGAGCGCCGGATAAAAGAAAATCCCCCGACCAAACAAATCAGGATAAAACCAAATCCCCACAACAAAGACGAGACTGCTGAAAGAACACCGATCGGCTTTATCAGCTTCCCTTTGTTCCTAAACGGTGAACTGACTGGCAAAGGCACTTTTTATTTATTTATTACTCATAATGATACAACTAAAGATGCTTTTGCATACTCACAATGTAAAAAGTTTTTATTTGTCAAAGTAATTTGAATAATTTGAATATGAGTGTGGCATTAGGATCAACTACTAAACATTTACATTAGGAAAAAGTCAAAAGTGACAGTAAAGACAGTTCTGATGTTTACAAGCATTTCTTTCTCAATTAATCTTGAGCACCTTGCATTTTAACCACCTGCTTGCACCTCACATTTTTGCCGTTGCACTCGAAAAAAAAGTCAATTCTAAGCATCTTTTTTTATTCTCTAATCAAATGAAAGCAGAGGCGGGGTTTTCCGTTGAAGTGACTGCAATGTTTGTGTTGTCAAGACTACGATGGAGAGTTTTAAAGATGGAGGAGAGGGTAGTGGACACTAAGCAAGCCTAGCAACATTAAAAGTGCAGCAAAAGACAGAGTCAAGAAAACGATAGAGTCGACAGTTTACAGACAATAGAGTTGATCATGTAGTAACAAGGTCGGCGAATGATAGAGTCGGCGAACGACAGAGGTGACAAATACGAGAATTGATAGTGACAGAGTTGACGAACAACAGAGTTGACGAATGACAGACAATAGAGTTTACCGACGAACGACAGAGTCAACAAATACCAGAACTGATAGTGACAGAAGTGACAGACAATAGAGTTGACTGATGAATGACAGAGTTGATGAACGACAGAGTCTGCGAACAACAAAGTCGACAAATACCAGAATTGACAGACAACAGAGTCGATGGACAACAGAATTGACAGTTGACAGACAATAGAGTTGACCGACGAATGACAGAGTTGATGAACGACGGAGTCTGCGAACAACAAAGTCGACAAATACCAGAATTGACAGACAACAGAATTGACAGTTGACAGACAATAGAGTTGACCGACGTATGACAGAGTCAACTTACAAGAGTTGACAAAGTCGATGTACAACAGAGTCAATGGACAACAGAGTTGACAAAGTCGATGTACAACAGAGTCAATGGACAACAGAGTTGACAGAGTCGATGTACAACAGAGTCGATGGACAACAGAGTTGACAATTGATGGACAACAGAATTGACAGTTGACAGACAATAGAGTTGACCGACGTATGACAGAGTCAACTTACAAGAGTTGACAAAGTCGATGTACAACAGAGTCAATGGACAACAGAGTTGACAAAGTCGATGTACAACAGAGTCAATGGACAACAGAGTTGACAGAGTCGATGTACAACAGAGTCGATGGACAACAGAGTTGACAATTGATGGACAACAGAATTGACAGTTGACAGACAATAGAGTTGACCGACGAATGACAGAGTCAACTTACAACAGAGTTGACAGAGTCAATGTACAACAGAGTCGATGGACAACAGAGTTGACAGAGTCGATGTACAACAGAGTCGATGTACAACAGAGTCGATGGACAACAGAGTTGACAATTGATGGACAACAGAATTGACTGACGAATGACAGACTCGACGGACAACGAAGTTGACAGAGTTGATGGACAACAGAGTTGACAGACAGTAGAGTTGTCCGACGACTGACAGAATTGATGAACGACAGAGTCGGCGAACGACAGAGTCGACAAATAGCAGAATGGAGAGTAACAGAGTTTGCGAGCAACAGAGTCCACAAATACCAGAATTGATAGTGACAGAGTTGACGTGCGCCAGAGTCAACGGACAACAGTTGATGGACAACAGAGTTGAAAGTTAACAAACAATAGAGTTGACCGACGAATGACAGAGTCAACAAATACCAGAACTGATAGTGACAGAAATGACAGACAATAGAGTTGACTGACGAATGACAGAGTTGATAAACAACAGAGTATGCAAACAACAAAGTCGACAAATACCAGAATTGACAGACAACTGAGTCGACAGACAACAGAATTGACAGTTGACAGACAATAGAGTTGACCGATGAATGACAGAGTTGACGAATGACAGAGTCAACGTACAACAGAGTTGACAGAGTCGATGTACAACAGAGTCGACGGACAACAAAATTGAAAGAATTGATGGACAACAGAGTTGACCGACGAATGACAGACTCAACGGACAACGAAGATGACAGAGTTGATGGACAACAGAGTTGACAGACTATAGAGTTGTCCGACGACTGACAGAATTGCTAAACGACAGAGTTGGCGAATGACAGAGTCGACAAATAGCAGAATGGAGAGTGACAGAGTTGGCGAGCACCAGAGTCCACAAATACCAGAATTGATAGTGACAGAGTTGATGTGCGCCAGAGTCAACGGACAACAGAGTTGATGGACAACAGAGTTGACAGTTGACAAACAATAGAGTTGACCGAATGACAAAGTCGACGAGCACCAGAGTCAACGAATAACAGAGTTGACAGACAGCAGAGTCGAGGGACAATAGGGTTGGTAGACAACAGAGTTGATAGTTGACGGACAATAGAGTTGACCGACGAATGACAGAGTTGACGAATGACAAAGTTGATAAATGACAGTTGACAAATAACATAGTCGATGGATGTCAAGAGTCGACGGTGACCATTGACGAAGAGCAGAGTTAATAGACGAAAGAGTTGACGTTGATGGAGTTTACAAATGACTGAGTTAAAGAATGTCATACCAGAGTGAACATTTTCCCCCATTTTGTGCTTTTTCAAGATGCTAACCTCAAATCAGATACCACATGGGCAATCTAAAAAAAAATTGTATGCATATTAAAATAAAACAACATGTATATTGTTGCATATTTTGTTATTAGGAAGTAGCTAGTGGACTGAAAGATGTTTGTTGTTTTTGACTGCACATTAACACGGCTGTGTACATGAAGCTGAATGTCTGTGTTTGTGTGTCAGGTGTTCTGAAGGTGGCGAGTGCAGTGGATGGAGATCTGTTACAGCAGCAGACAGAGAGTGTGAGAGAGAAACAGCGCAGCCCAGAGTACTGTGACAAACTCCTGCAGCACATACACTCATTATGACAATCAAGCCCTAAACACACACACAAAGACACTCACACACGCACAAAACTCCAGACATGCACACACACTTACTGTGTACATTCAGACAATTTGTGAATGGGCAAAATCTAAGTGTATTTTCACCTTTGCTCTTTTATTATTGGTGAACTTTTATTAAAGTAAATGTTATATATATGAAAACAGTAAACATCATACATTTTATAATTAATATACCCAAATTGCTCATAAAAACATTGACTGTAGTTGTCTCCCAGATTTGAAGATGAACTTATTTAAAATGTGCCTTTTCTTTTTGCCGTCGACACCTTTATTATTCATTGAACTTACGATTGTTAATAAATAAATTCGTTTATTAAACTTTTTTTTTCACATTTCTGTTTTCAGCGGATGCTTTCTTGCCACAAAAACATGTCAAGAATACATTCATAAATAACAATACTATCATCATAGTAATTACTAAAGGCATATAAGAGGAATAGTTCACACAAAAATGACAATTTGCAGATTTATTCATTCATTTTTGCGTACTATCCCTTTAAGTATTCTCCATAAACTACATTAGTTAGCACAAAATGCTAGTTAATCAATACTGTTTGTTCCCTTCATACACTACCTGACAAAAGTCTTGTCGCCTATCCAAGTTTTAGGAACAACAAATAACAATTTGACTTCTAGTTGATCATTTGGGATCAGAAGTGGCTTAAATGAAAGGTAAAGGCGTCTATTTTACCAAAATAAAATATGATCATGTCTTGATTTTTAATTATTTAATTAGGACAGTAAGCTCTGTAAGTAAGTCCTGTCTCTTAAAAGAAATAATGTACAGTATAGAATATAAAGTCATGCTGCAGTGGAAAAAGAATGAATATTGTGTATGACCCCCCTGAGCTTGGAGGACTGCATCCATACATCTCTGCAATGACTTGAATCACTTACTAATAAAGTCATCTGAAGTCGTTCTTGCAGGACTCCCAGAGTTCATCAAGATTCATCTTCAATGCCTCTTTCTTCATCTTACCCTAGACATGCTCAATATGTTCATGTCTGCTGACTGGGCTGGCCAATCCTGGAGCACCTTGACCTTCTTTGCTTTCAGGAACTTTGATATGGAGGCTGAAGTATGAGAAGGAGCGCTATCCTGCTGGAGAATTTACCGTCTGCAGTGGTTTGTAATGTAATGGGCAGCACAAATGTCTTGATGCCTCAGGCTTGTGATGTTGCCATCCATTCTGCAGATCTCTTGCACGCCCCCATACTGAATGTGACCCCAAACCATGAATTTTCCTTCACCAAACTTGACTGATTTCTTTGAGAATCTTGGCTCCATGCTGGTTCCAGTAGGTCTTCTGCAGTATTTGTGATGATTAAGATGCAGTACAACAGATGATTCATGGAAAAAATCAACCTTCTGCCACTTTTCCAAATGATCAACTAGAAGTCAAGTTATTATCTGTTGCTCTTACAACTGAGATCGACGACAAGACTTTTGTCAGGTAGCGTAGACAGTAATGTTCTGGCAGTATTTTGATATAATTATGGATTATAATGTTTTGTATCCTATATGAAATATTATCCAGATCTATTTCTTGATTAAATGCAGTATGATGCATTAGAAGCAGGAAGAACTAGATATTGATGACATTTAATAATGGTGATGATTCGATGAGATGCCAGGCCGGGGGTTATTTTTAGAAGTTTATCTAAGTTCAGCACAATATTAATTTCCATGTTGGGTTGATGCGGGGTCAGCCTAGTGAATGCTGTTTCTTCAACCTCTCCGAATGCTGAACTCTCTCCTCTGGAGTCTTTTTGTAGCTCCTGAAACACAGAAACACTTTTATTTTGTATATTTTCTTTTGTGAATTGAATTTCTATTGTGATTTCTATCTGTGCTGGTGTGCTTGAAATATATATATATATACAGTTGAAGTCAGAATTATTAGCCCCCCTGAATTATTAGCCCCCTGTTTATTTTTTCCCCCCAATTTCTGTTTAACGAAGAGATGATTTCTTCAACCTACTTTTAAACATAAAAGTTTTAATAACTCATTTCTAATAACTGATTTATTTTATATTTGCCATAATAACAGTAGATAATATTTGACTAGATATTTTTAAAGGGGCTAATAATTTTGATGGTGTTTAAAAAAATTAAAACAGCTTTTATTATAGACAAAAAAATCAAAAATAAAATAAGACTTTCTCCAGAAGAAAAAAATATTATCAGACATACTGTGAAAATTTCCTTGCTTTGTTAAACATAATTTGGGAAATATTTAAAAAAGAAAAAAAATCAAAGGGGCCTAATAATTCTGACTTCAACTGTATATCTGTATGTATAATATATATATATATATATATATATATATATATATATATATATATATATATACATACATACATGTAGTATGTAGAATGAAATCACATGCATTTTTGTATAGAGAATGAAGTCACATGAATCTCAGGTGTGAGTGTTTCACAGACTTCAACAGAGTGAAAAAACTTGATGGTTCTGTGGGTTTCGCCTATCAAATCTGATCTCTGTTTTGTATTTTCTATTGGATTCAAGTCAGGTGACTGGCTTGGCCATTCTACAGCTTGGACACATTTGAGAGTTTTCTTGGCTGTGTTTTGGATCATTGTCTTGCTGAAATGTCCACCCTGGTTTCATCTTCATCATCCTGCTAATGTAGAGGCTGGACTGAAGCAGCTTATATTCATTTACACTGACAAAGGGCAGAGGTTTGCTGAAGAACTACTGAGATTTTAGCTGCTGTCTGGGCTTTCACTGCCTTTTTACACCTCCCTTTTTTCATGTGTTCAATACCTTTTTCCTGTGTGATTTTTTATTTTATTTTATTGCACAGAACATAATTTGTAAACTAACTGATAATGTTTTCTTTGCATATATGGATGTATTTGGTTGTTACCAACATCTGGTAAAAGTCTCAGGTCAACAGCACCTTCAGAAATATTCTTTCTGAGAAAAATGGTGATGTGTGCAATACTTATTTCCCCACTGTATTTATAGTGCATCCGGAAAGTATTGATAGCGCTTCACTTTTCCACATTTTTTATGTTAAAGCCTTATTCTAAAATGGATTAAATTAATTTATTAAGTTTTTGGAATTGTTGCAAATTTATTAAAGCTGAAAAGTCACATGTACAGCAGTATTCACAGCCTTTGCTCAATACTTTGTTGAAGCACCTTTGGCAGCAAGTCCTCAAGTCTTTTGAATATGACGCCACAAGCTTGGCACACCCGTCTTTGGGAATTTTTGCCCATTCCTCTTTGCAATACCTCTCAAGCTCTATCAGGTTGCATGGGAAGTGACGGTGTTCAGCCATTTTCCAATCTCCCCAAAGATGTTGAATATGATTTAGGTCTGGGCTCTGGCTGGGCCACTCAAGGACATTCACAGAGTTGTTGTGAAGCCACTCCATTGATATTTTAGCAGTGTGCTTTGGGTCATTGTCCTGCTGGAAAATGAACCGTCGCCCCAGTCTGAGGTCAAGAGCACTCTGAAGCAGGTTTTCATTCAGGATGTCTCTGTACATTGCTGCATTCATCTTCCCTCTATCCTGACTAGTCTTCCAGTTCCTGCTGCTGAAAACCATCCCCACACCATGCTTCACTGTAGGGATGGTATTAGCCTGGTGATGAGCGGTGCCTGGTTTTCTCCAAATGTCACGCCTGGCCTTCACTCCAAAGAGTTCAATTTCAGTCTCATCAGACCAGAGAATTTTGTTTCTTGTGGTATGAGAGTCCCTCAAATGCCTATTGTGGCTTCCTTCTGCCCACTCTACCATACAGGCCTGATTGGTGGATTGCTGCACAGATGGTTGTCCTTTTGTAAGATTTCTCTCTCTCCACAGAGGAACGCTGGAGCTCAGAAAGAGTGACCATCGGGTTATTGATCACCTCCCTGACTAATCCCCTTCTCCCCCGATAACTCAGCTTAGATGGCCGGCCAGCTATAGGAGGAGTCCTGGTGGTTCCAAACATCTTCCACTTACAGGTGATGGAGGCCACTGTGCTTATTGGAACTTTCAGAGCAGCAGAAATTTTTCTGTTACCTTCCCCAACCTTGTGCCTCGAGATAATCCTGTCTCGGAGGTCTACAGACAATTCCTTTGTCTTCATGCTTGGTTTGTGCTTTGACATGCACTGTCAACCCTGGAAGCTTATATAGACAGGTGTGTGCCTTTTTAAATCATGTCCATTCAACTGAATTTACCTCATGTGAACTCCCAATTAAGCTGCTGAAACATCTGAAGAATGACCAGTGGAAACAGAATGTAGCTGAGCTCAATTTAGAGCTTCACGGCAAAGGCTGTGAATACTTCTGTACATGTGAATTTTCAGCTTTTTTATTTTTAATAAATTTGCAACAATTTCAAAAACTGTGTGTGTGTATATATACATATTATATATATATATATATATATATATATGTGTGTATAATAACAATTTGTTATAGTTATGCAGTACATGCAGCAATAGAGCAGAAATGGAAATAAAAGTAATGTGTATAAATAGCAATGACAAATAGTAAAATATTGGTAGTGTTTCAATAGTATTTAGCATTCATAATATAAATTTTAATAATATTGTTAATTTAAAAAATAATACTAAAGTTGGTGAGGATGAAAGTAATATTCTGTGATGACATCAACATTGATATCACTAATAATGAAGACAATTATACTACTACAATAATAATAATCAGTATGTAATAACAATAGTGATAATGGGGGGAAAATATAAAAATACGCTTTTATACTTTTGGATCTTTGGTGTTGCCGCCTTAATATTTGTTTGTGTATATATATTTTATATTATATAAACTATTATTATATTTGAATATTCAAATGATTTCTTAAGGTGGTAAATGTTTAAGGGTTACTTCATCCAAAACTGAAAATGTTGTCATCATTTACACACTTTTTACTTCTTCTTCCAAACCCTGTTTGAGTTACTTTCTTCCATTGAACACACAGGAAGACATACTGAAGAATGTTGGAAACCGGTAACCATTGACTTCCATATTTGTTTTTCCTACAATTGAAGTCAATGGTTACCGGTTTTCAGCATTCTTCAAAACATCTTCTTTTGTGTTTAACAGAAGAAAGAAACTCATAAAGGTTTGGAACAACTTGAGGGAGAGTAAATACCAAGTAAATTTATGTGTGTGAACTATCCCTTTAAAAAGCGGCTTGTTTTCTTAAGTGATTCTTTGCAATATAATACAGAATGTTTTGCTTTTTTTTTTTTTTGGCTAATTGGCTGTATCAATTTCTGCCAAATGCATTTACAAATAAATCCAGCCAATTTTAAATGTCAGCTGGCAGGCTTGAGTGGCATTTCCAGCATTGTAAGTATCTCCACAGACTGAATTGGATTTCAGGCTCCATCATCGAGAGCGTAAAACTGAGTGGAAATGAGCGGAGTTGGAGATGCTTTGATAAAAGGAGGCTGAAGCTGGAGAACTGACCCTCGACGCAGAAGCTGCTGGCCTGAAACTGGAGCATTCTGGCCTTGACTGGGCTGCAGGATCCTTCAACACACACCACAACAAGGTGGATGAAAACTACATGCCTCTCCCACATACAGCTGAAGTCAAGATTATTAAGCCCTCTTGTGATTTTATATATATATATATATATATATATATATATATATATATATATATATATATATATATATATATATATATATATATATATATATAAAATATATATGATTAGTTTTATTTCGGCTAGAATAAAAGCAGTTTTTAATTTTTATAAACCATTGTGAGGTCAAAATGATCAGCCTCCTTAAGCAATGTTTTTTTGATTGTCTACAGAACAAACCATCGTTATACAATGTCTTGCCTAATTACCCTAACCTGCCTAATTAAACTAGTTAAGCCTTTTAATGTCACTTTAAGTTGAATACTATTATCTTAAAAACTATCTAGTCAAATAATAGGTACTGTCATCTTGGCAAAGATAAAAGACATTAGTTATTAAAACTATTATGTTTAGGAATGTGTTGAAAAATATACAGGGGGGTTAATAAATCTGACTTCTATTGTATGCGGTGCAGAGTGAGTACTGAATGTGCTTCTGTAAAGAGATTTGTTGGTGTGTGTTCCAGTGTTTTCACCTTTTTGTAGGAGGACTCTTGGTTTTCTGAGCTCTTCTGGTCTGGACTGGAGATTCACCAACTCTGATGAACAATATTTTGGAGCAGGTCAGGTATGGAGTTTTAGTGTACTACTAATAAATTGGTTACTTCATGACAGGATTGATTTAAATAAAAAACAATAATATTAATAAAAGTAACTAAATATTTAAATGAGCAATAAACACTTGTAGCAGTGCGATACGGCTGAATATGTGTATGGCAGTGGTGCGAGGCGTGGGTTATAAAAAAGAAAATCAAACACAGTGTCAAAAACTCTTTTGTGTAAGAAACTACTTTCTTCCGCCATTCATTCTCATCTGCAGTTGACGTCAGAACAGCAGAAACTGTTGCCCATTGACCAACGTCACTTAAGAGCTAGTATTTGAATGATTCTCTAGCGTAATGTCTAAAGTCATGACAAAACAGGTAATTTTGCTCACATTATATTACACCATAAAATGTCTACAGAGATTTCCCAGTACTGCCCTTTTCCCAGGCACTGTCCTTATAAATAAACTTTATAGTTGCAATCTAACAACTCCATTCTCGCCTAAAAAGCCTCAAAAGTACATGATGTTGTCTAACAACAACTGTAGTGAGTTTATTTATCTGCTGTCACTCTATGTGGGCTGAGTAATACACAAGGGTGAAGAGGCTGTACAAGTGCTGTTATTATGGTAATATTGCACGGCTATCAGCCTAATCAGATTTGTAGATTTTTTTGTGATCTAGTGATTTGGAGCCCTAAGCAATTTCAGCCATGAATCCCAACAGTCCTAAAATGCACCCTTTGTACTTTAATTCATTCATTTTTATTTATTTACCTGTTTGTCTTATATTCAGTCTTATTTTCTATGTATTATCTTAATGCTAATGTTAAAATACAAATGTGTTTTCATAAAATGTATTCACAGCTCAAAAAATAAAACTGCTAAAATGATTTAAAAGATTAAACTGAGGAGAAACTGCTCACTCACCTCTTCTTTCTGTCGAGAGATTTCTGGGTAGCAGCAGAGAAAATCACCTTGTCTTTAGGGCTTTTTGCTTTTTCCTGTAAGCAAAATAAACTGTTTGATTGGAAACTTATTTCTAGAAGTTTGTACTTTCAGTAATGGACCAATCAAAATGATAGACGGATGGATGGATGGATGGATGGATGGATGGATGGATGGATGGATGGATGGATAAAAAGATAGAACAATAGATAGATAGATATAGATAGACAGACAGAATGAACGATAGATAGGTGATTAGACACATGGATGGATAGATGGATAGATAGATAGATAGATAGATAGATAGATAGATAGATAGATAGATAGATAGATAGATAGATAGATAGATAGATAGATAGATAGATAGATAGATAGATAGATAGATGATGGATGGATGGATGGATAAAAAGACGGACGGACAGACAGACAGATAGATAGATAGATAGATAGATAGATAGATAGATAGATAGATAGATAGATAGATAGATAGATAGATAGATAGATAGATAGATAGATAGATAGATAGATAGATAGATAGATAAAAACAGTTTATAGATAGATAGATAGATAGATAGATAGATAGATAGATAGATAGATAGATAGATAGATAGATAGATAGATAGATAGATAGATAAAAACAGTTTATAGATAGATAGATAGATAGATAGATAGATAGATAGATAGATAGATAGATAGATAGATAGATAGATAGATCGATAGATAGATAGATCGATAGATGATGGATGGATGGATGGATAAAAAGACGGACGGACAGATAGATAGATAGATAGATAGATAGATAGATAGATAGATAGATAGATAGATAGATAGATAGATAGATAGATAGATAGATAGATAGATAGATAGATAGATAGATAGATAGATAGATAGATAGATAGATAGATAGATAAAAACAGTTTATAGATAGATAGATAGATAGATAGATAGATAGATAGATAGATAGATAGATAGATAGATAGATAGATAGATAGATAGATAGATAGATATATAGATAGATAGATAGATAGATAGATAGATAGATAGATAGATAGATAGATAGATAGATAGATAGATAGATAGATAGATGAACAGTTGGATGGTTAGACAGACATGGATGGACGGATGAACACTTAGACAGATTGATATCAGATGGATAGATGGACAGGTAGATGAATAGATGGATAGTTTGATGGACTAATGGTCAGATGGATGGATGGATGGATGGATGGATGGAAGGTTAGACAGACATATGGACAGATGTATGGATGGATGGATGGATGAATGGATAGATATCAGATAGATAGGGAATGGATTTGACAGATAGATGGATGGATGGATGGAAGGATGGATGGACAGACAGATGAATAGATGAATAGTTTGATGGACTAATGGTCAGACAGAAAGACAGACAGACAGACAGACAGACAGATGAATAGTTTGATGGACTAATGGTCAGACAGACAGACAGACAGGTAGGTAGGTAGACAGACAGATAGACGTTTACCATTTCTCTGAGTTTCCTCTCAGTGCGTAACTCTCTGTCTTGTTGGATCAGAGTCAAACGCTCCTCTAGTGTGAGTGTGAAAAAGATATCATGAATATCAAACAAGGCCGCACGTAGCTGTAAAAAACAGACAATAAACACATCATCAGTGTCAGTTTTACAGTAGTAAACACTGAACACTAAAGCTCTGACGGAGACCTGGGCTCTGACACGCTCCTGCAGACACAGATCCTGCTCTGACAGGTTACTGCTGAACGAACTGATGAACTCCTGCGTGTCCTGAGGAGAAAGCAGACACTGTTAAACCCTGCAGGCCCTTATGAGCATGCAAGTGAACATGGTGCTGTGTGTTCTCACCTGTACCGTCTGCCGCAGGTTTTTAACTTTCTCAGTTTTCAGCAGTCGTCTGATCAGGAAGCCCTTGACGATGGCAGTAAGGCGAAACAGCGCCCTCTGCTGCTCCACCGTCAAAACCTGACCATTCACAGACATAACATTTAGATAATTTTTATTCTAGCTTATTTTACTCTTGTGGGAGCAGTTTACAAATTATAAAAGCACTTTAAAACAAACCTGGCTCAGCCTGTTTCTGCTCTTCAGTCCTCTCAGATAAACAGGAGGCTGTATTGAAGGCGATGTTGCATCAAAGGTGGGAGAAGGAAAACCTGAGGTAGAAACACAGACAGGTGATGACAAGTGTATAGATTTTATAGTTGAAAGGGGTTAATAGCATTATTGTTTACTTTTATTTTTTAACCACATCTGACATCTTGTAGTTAAGAAATTAAAGTGTGAATGTTTTGAATTAGTGTTATTTTATCATTTTGTATTATTTTAAATTTTTACATTTTTATAGTATTTACTTACAATATTTAATGAATTTAGTGATTTCGTTTTTGTTTAGATTTTTTTTTTTTGCAATTTTGCTGTGCTTTTGTAAATTGAACACTTTTACAGTTTATTCCTATAGGTGGATGGATGGATAGATGGGTGAAAAGATAGAACGATTGCTAGATAGATAGATAGATAGATAGATAGATAGATAGATAGATAGATAGATAGATAGATAGATAGATAGATAGATAGATAGATAGATAGATAGATAGATAGATAGATAGATAGATAGATAGGAGATTGACACATGGATGGATGGATGGATGGATGGATGGATAGACAGACAATCTAAGGACATTCATCACAGGCTGGTGTGTTTTCTGTCGTACCCATCTTCTGCAGCGGGTGTCGCGGGGATCTGTCTCCGGGACTTAAAGGGCACATGGGGCTCAGTATAGGGTATCGGTCAGCACAGCCATCCTCTCCCACAGCAGGACTCAGACCACCCTGAGCCCTCAGTCTCCTGACCCGCTCCTCTGAATCCTGCATGAGCAACAGACATACAGTGTTATTCTGTTTTTTTATTAAACAACCATTTTTATCAAGCACTGTGAAACCTATTGTACAATTACCTATTGTACTTTATCATCCTTTTGAGTTTAGTTTAATTGAAATTGAAACATTTGTTTACTCTGAACATTTTTTTTTTGTGTGTGTGTTTGGTTATTTTACAGGTTAAAGTCGCTTAGCTCAATACTGTGATTATACCGGACACCATGACAAAAGCTTAATACAAGAAAATGTAATACCGTCATAAGCCTAGATGCGAATTGAATTTACACACAAAACAAGAAAATCGCATAAAAGATTTGCATAATAGATATAAGTGACTATTAATGTAGCTGACATTGACGAACTTGTATAAGGTGTCACATGGTTTAGGATGCGCTCTTAGAATGAAGTTGACAAGGTGGGCAGTAAACAGAGAGAGGTTTTAAACAGAGATAGATAGATAGATAGATAGATAGATATATAGATAGATAGATAGATAGATAGATAGATAGATAGATAGATAGATAGATAGATAGATAGATAGATAGATAGACAGACAGACAGACAGACAGACAGACGGACGGACGGACGGACGGGCGGGCGGACTAACGGACGGACTAACGGACGGACGGCCAGACAGACATACAGACAGACAGACAGACAGACAGACAGAAAGACAGATAGATAGATAGATAGATAGATAGATAGATAGATAGATAGATAGATAGATAGATAGATAGATAGATAGATAGATAGATAGATAGATAGATAGATAGATAGATAGATAGATAGATAGATAGATAGATGGGTGGGTGGGTTTATGGATGGATGGATCGATAAATGGATCGATGGACGGACGAACAGACAGACAGATAGTAGATAGATGGACAGACAGATTGACAGATAGAGAGGCAGATAGATAGATAGATGGATGGATGGATGGACGGACGGATGGACGGACGGACAGATGGATGAATGGACAGACAGATTGACAGATAGAGAGACAGAGAGGCAGATAGATAGATGGATGGATGGATGGATGGACGGATGGACGAACGGACGGACAGATAGATAGATAGTGTCTATCTGTGTCCCACCAGGTGTTCTCTCTCTTGCTCCGCCATCAGACAGGACATCCGAAAAGCGTAGTCTTCCTCCAGTGACCTCTGCATGTCTTCCAGAGCCTGCGCCTGCCATTGCATCTCATCTAAACACACAAGAGACATACACGACAGAGAGGATACTTTATCAAATATAGCTGTAAGTCTGATCTCAAATAGTAATAATAATAGAATTGTTATTATTATATATTGGCTCTTTGATGTTCCATTGATTATGTTTTCTTATCAATAACTTTTTATGGCTGTATATGTGTCTTGAGCTGCTTTTTGTTTGGGTTTTTTAGATTTTAAACAGTTCTTGGTGTGTTTTGGATTCTGGAAAACACTGCAAGCCACTTGAAATTAAACTTATTTGATGTGGCTATACAGTGTTTCCCAACAGTACATGTTTTGATGTCTCCCTTATCTGACCCATTCACTTCAGGTTTTGGAGTCTCTTCTAGTGTTCTTATGAGTTGGTTCAGGTGTGTTTGATTAGGAAGAGGTTGAAAATGTGAACTCTTGGTGTACCTTCAGGAACAGGGTTGGGAAGCACTGCTTTAAAATACCACTCCTAAGTGAAGTGTTTGATGTTTTTAGATGCAAAGACATGTTCTGTGTGAACGGGCCTTAACTCGTGTTCTTACCTGTCCTTCGGTCTTTTACCGAAGTACTAATAACATTGTTCCTCTCCATCTCGAATTGTAGTTTGGCATGAGAAGGAGATTCTGGACTGACTGCAGACCCCATGAATGCTACTCCGGGACTCTTGTTCATTGGTGAAGGAGGTGAAAGGCGAGTTGGCGTTCTCACCGTGACCCCAGCCATAAAGCGAGGCATTCGCTCCTGGCTCCTATCTATGACGGGACGTGAGGACAGATGGCTGTCCAGCGTGTGGCATCTCCTCCGAAATAGAGGACTCGTGAGCTCAGCGTCCACTGGAGATGTTTCCAGTCTACCTATAGTCTCGTTCAACCTGGAGAAATCCTCATAAGGAGATACATTCACATTTTCCAACCCAAGCAGCTTCCTTTCCTGCATTCCGATTGGTTTTAGGTCCTGTGGTCTTGCATTGGGTGTAATGTTTGGTTTGGGGTTTTCAGGTAAAGAAAAGAAGATGCTGCATGCAGAAATGGGACGAGGGCGTCCGCGGTGGGATTTGTTTGCATTTAGACCACATTCTGAGCTGATGGTGTAACTGGGGGAGCCACTAAAACCAGTCCCATTCAGAAAGCAGCCAACAGGATCCGAGGGGCTTTCTGACGGGGTTTTGTTGAGTTTTGAGCCTGGTTTTGCTTGCTCTTTTTCAATGAATTCACGTGATTTCTTTAGCAGGTTCTGCAGGCAAACTCCTGGTTCAGTTTCCTCTTGCATTTGTTTTTCCTCGGCAGGTTTTCCTCTCACAAACGCAGGTAGATCAGATGATGGAGTCACTGGAGGCCTGTTGGACAGTATATATGGCTTAGGAGCTCCATTAGGTGTGAGTTTTGTACTGTCCGGTCGTGTGAAACCATTCCTGTAGTCTGTCTTTGGAGAAGGAGACGTGCGCTGCTCTGAAGGCTGTGGGATGTCCAAGACTTTTGGTGCCTAGGATGCAAGAAGATGCAAGTATTTTCACAACAAATATTTGTGGATAAGCTATATACAGTTCAAAATTATACTATAGAAGTCAAAATTATCAGTCCTCCTGTGAATTTTTTTAATTTTTTAAAAATATTTCCAAAGTGCTGCTTATCAGACCGAGAAAATATCTCATTAATATCTATATATTTTTTTACCTGGAGAAATTATTATAATTTCTTTTAGTTTGGCTTGAATAAAAGGCAGTTTTTACATTTTTTTAAATGATTAAATCAATCTATTAAATTAAACCAAAATAATTAGCTCTCTTAATCATTTCTCATAAGTCCTCGTAAATTATTATACCCATCAAAATTGATCACATCATGATTACATTTTGATGATCAAAGAAAACAGTAATATTGTGAAATTTTGTTATTGTTTTTCCTAGAAAAAAAGTTTGAGGTAAGATGTCAGGATTCTGTCACTTCGGTCTTGTTAATTTTTGTTTTGGTGGCAGAGTCCAGACACTAGTCTTGTCTTGTCTTGTCTTGTCTTGTATGTTGTGCTCGGCTCAAGTTTTCTCAGGTCGACCACTCTTACCCTACGTTCAGACCGAAAGCGGCGAGAGCGTCAAAGTAGCCGGAAGTCATTCATTTTCAATGAGAGCCGACGGCGATAAGCGGCGAGGAGCAGCGGCAAGCAATTAGAATATAGAAGTCCACCGTTTGAGAGAATTTCAGAGAACACAGTCACTGTAAACTTTTGTTCCGACCACATGTTCGAAAAGGTTTTATGTTCAAAAGGATCATGTGATACTGAAGGCTGGAGTACTGAATATATCACATTTAATTGCAATGTCATGCAGACTTTAATAATCACAGAAATAATATTTCACAATACTAATGTTTTACTGCATATATATCAAATAAACACAGCTTTGGTGAGACTTTTGTGTATATTAAATGTATGGATATTAATATATTAATAATAATAATAATAACAATGAATGCATTTCGGAAATATTCCCAAATGCAACATAAAAGTGCCTGTATTACATAAGACACTCATTTCCTTACCTTACTGGTCCAAAGACTTGCTGGCATCTGATTGAGCAGGTTATTGTTATGATGAAGCTGTCGCCCTGCCTCCACTTGTGATGCTCTTTTCTTGTATTTAGCCATTTCTCTTCTTTGTTTCTCACTTAGCTTGAAACACAAGGTGCAAAAACATTCAAAAGCGAATTGCTAAATTAAAGTAAATGGTAAGCCTAATCTATCTAGGTGTTAAAACATACTAGCAACATACTAGTCACATGCTGTTTCTAATTATTATAACTTCTTAAGCTCTGTCTCAAATGACATACCATAGATGTATACTCTGTAGTGTAGCCAACTCTCTAGTATCTGGACTTCATAAGGTTATGTTTGTCATTCACATTCTTAAACATAATTAGCCACAAAACTAAAGCTGTGTCAGCTGAGTGCAAGAAGTGTCCAACAGTCCTCACATTTTCTTTTTTAATAAATTTTGTCCTAAATAAGTGTATCATATTAGTATTTAAAGTATATTTTTATTTTGAACATCTATACAAATTGAGTAATACAGTATGCAAACTGCAAAAACTGCTACATTTATGCTAATAACATGCTAAGTAGTGAGAAGGAGCAGAAACATGCTAAATATTAAAAATGTGTGGAAACATGCTATTAAACATGCTAAATGGTAACAATGAGCAGAAACATGCTAGAAACGTAAAAACATGCTAATAAACATGGTAAATGGTAACAATGAGCAAAAACATGCCATTGAACATGCAAAATGGTAACAATGAGCAGAAACATGTTAGAAACATGCAAGAGCATGTTAATAAACATAATAAATGGAAACAATGAGCGTAAACATGCTAGAAACATGTAAAAACATGCTAATAAACATGATAAATGTAACAATGAGCAGAAACATGCAAAAACATGCTATTAAACATGCTGCATGGTAACAATGAGCGGAAACATGCTAGAAACATGCAAAAACATGTTAATAAACATGTTAAATGGAAATAATGAGAGGAAACATGCTAGAAACATGCAAAAACATGCTAATAAACATGATAAATGGAAATAATGAGAGGAAACATGCTAGAAACATGCAAAAACATGTTAATAAACATGTTAAGTGGTAACGATGACCGGAAACATGCTAGAAACATGTAAAAACATGCTAATAAAATGGTAAATTGTAACAATGAGCGTAAGCATGCTAGAATTCTGTAAAACCATGCTAATTAACATGGTAAATGAAAACAACAAGAAACATGTAAAAAAACATGCTATTAAACATGCTACATGGTAACAATGAGCGAAAACATGCTAGAAACATGCAAAAGCATGTTAATAAACATGATAAATGGAAACAATGAGGGGAAACATACTAGAAACGTGAGAAAACATGCTACAAACATGTTAAGTGGTAACAATGACTGGAAACATGCTAGAAACATATAAAAACATGTTAATAAAATGGTAAATGGTAACAATGAGCGTAAACATGCTAGAAACATGTAAAACTATGCCGGTAAACATGATAAATGGAAACAACAATAAGAAACATGTAAAATACATGCTAATAAACATGCTTAATGGTAACAATGAGCCGAAACATTCTAGAAACATGCAAAAACTTGCTAATAAACATGATAAATGGAAACAATGAGAGGAAACATGCTGGAAACGTGCAAAAACATGCTAATAAACATGGTAAATGGTAACAATGAGCAGAAACATGTAAAACCACGCTAATAAACATGATAAATGGAAACAACAATTAGAAACATGTAAAAAAACATGCTATTAAACATGCTAAATGGTAACAATGAGCAGAAACATGCAAGAACATGCTATTAAACATGTTAAATGGTAACAATGAGCAGAAACATGCAAAAACATGTTTATAAACATGATAAATGGAAATAATGAGAGGAAACATGCTAGAAACATGCAAAAACCTGCTAATAAACATGTTAAGTGGCAATGATGACCGGAAACATGCTAGAAACATGTAAAAACATCCTAATAAAATGATAAATGGTAACAGTGAGCGTAAACATGCTAGAAACATGTAAAACCGTGCTAGTAAACATGATAAATGGAAACAACAATAAGAAACATGTAAAATACATGCTAATAAACATGCTTAATGGTAACAATGAGCCGAAACATGCAAAAACTTGCTAATAAACATGATATATGAAAACAATGAGAGAAAACATGCTGGAAACATGCAAAAACATGCTAATAAACATTGTAAATGGTAACAATGACCGGAAAGATGCTAGAAACATGTAAAAACATGCTAATAAACATGATAAATGGAAACAACAATCAGAAAGAAAACATGCTAATAAACATGCTAAATGGTAACAATGAGCAGAAACATGCTATAAACATGTACAAACATGCTAATAGACATGATAAATGGTAACAATAAGCAGAAACATGTAAAAACATGATAAATTAAATAAATGATCTAAAACATACTAGAAACGTGTAAAACCATGCTAAAAAAACATGCTAAATGGTAACAATGAGCGGACACATGCTAGAGACATGTGCTTCCCTTTATTTATCTGAGGTTGCCAAAGAGGAATGAACCGCCAACTACTCCAGCATGTTTTACACAGTGGTTGTCCTTCCAGCTACAACCCAGTACTGGGAAACACCCATGCACACTCAAGTTTACACACACTCTAACACTATGGCCAATTTAGTTTATCCAATTCACCAATATCGCATGTCTTTTGACTGTGGGGGAAACGGGAGCATCTGGAGGAAACCAACACAAACATGGGGAGAACTTGCAAACTCCACACAGAAATACCAACTGACCCAGTCAGGAGTCAAACCAGTTACCTTCTTGCTGTGAGGCAGTGCTCACCACTGAGTCAACGTGCCGCCCTATACTTATTTATTTGTATGTTTGTCTTATTTATGTTTTGTTTTCTGTATACCCCTGACCTTTTTTTCTTAATATTCTTTGTATTTTTTGTTCTGTATTCTGTTCTTTAAGCATTAATAACAAAGTAGTAAATACTCACAACAGGACAGAGAACCGGCCTGCCATGAAAGCAGATGAGAGAGTGCGCCACCACTCGCGCAGGTGCGGTACTGCAGCTCTTTTTACGCCTCATTTCCGTCTGCAGTTTAGACACAATCCGTGCGCAGAATTCATCGTAGTTCTCCATGTTCTCCCCAGACAACTGTAAAAGCCTAATATACTGAAATACAAACGTCTGTACTAGTTTAATTTGATAGAAAATAGTAGTACGCTGCCGTTGTTATCAATTAGGAATCACTGAGCAATAGTCAGCAGTCATGTTTGACCACAATGCAGGGTTTAAGATTCAGATTTATTGGATAAATGGGAATAAATAGGGAGCAGAGGAACTCTGGGGGATAAATTACTCTTATAACATCCCACTGCTCCTTTATCTGTAAAAATGAATGCTAACATATAAGTCAGGCAATATAACAATGCAGATGTTAAAATCTCAGCATCAGCATCTTTATATATTGCCCTCAGCTTCTGTTGGAATATCTCTATATGTTAAAAATTAAATGAAATATATCAATAAAAGGCTTACCTCTATCACAGCCTGTAATACTGTATGATAGCGTCGCTGTATGCTGGTGTTTATATTGGATGTACAGATGCAAATCGCGTAATTGTTTCCTGTTTTGCTAGTAATTAGCCTCCGCTGTGGATGATAATGAAGCGAGCTACTCTACATTATCCACATGACATAAACAATAGTGTAAATATATAGACAGATATATTGGTTTAATATGCTGAATCGTCCATGTGTCATTCACGCGGGGCTCTGCTGTCTGGATGCTGCTGCTATTCGTCATCAGCTCCGCCCCTTCATTCATCGTCATTCCATCAATTTAATTTAACGAAGGAAGCAACGCAGATTCCTTCACATCAGGTTCGTTTTCAGATACAGGTTTCTTTTCGCAATGTTTTTTTTTTATTTGTTGTTGTTGTTGTTGTATGTACATTCATTCAATCATTCCTTTTATTCCCCATGTAGAAGTGGATAAATGGAAATAAAGGCAAATTGCATATTTTACATATATAAAACAACCTATATGTCATATTTGCAACACATATTTCAAAATATTGCAAATAATCACCGTTTGCATACACTTTTCGTATGTTAGGCTTAGGCATGTGTATACATTGCAAAAATAGCCCTTTTTATACCAGCCAATGCAATCACAAATATTTTTTTAATTAAAATATATTATCTTTAAAATGATATATGTGTTTATAGCTATACAGTTGAAGTCAGAATTATTAGCCCCCTTGAATTATTCGCCCCCCCCCCCCTGTTTTATTTTTCTTCCGGTTTTTAACGGAGAGAAGACTTACTTAACACATTTCTAAACATAATAGTTTTAAAAACCCATTTCTAATAACTGATTTATTTTATCTTTGTCATGATGACAGTAAATAATATTTGACTAGATATTTTTCAAGACACTTCTGTACAGCTTAAAGTGGCATTTATAGGCTTAACTAGGTCTTTAAGGTTAACTATGCAGGTTAGGTTAATTAGGCAAGTTATTGTATAATGATGGTTTGTTCTGTAGACTATCAAAACAAATATAGCTTAAAGGGGCTAATAATTTTGACCTTAAAATGGTGTTTAAAAAATTTAAAACTGCTTTTATTCTAGCCGAAATAAAACAAATAAGACTTTCTCCAGAAGAAAAAATATTATCAGACATACTGTGAAAATTTCCTTGCTCTGTTAAACATCATTTGGGAAATATTTAAAAAAGAAAAAAAAATCAAGGGGGGCTAATAATTCTGACTTCAACTGTATATGTGTGTGAATATTTTTGCAATATTTTTAAATAAATGCTGCATATATTACATATTATTCATTCATAATTTTCCTTTAGCTTAGTACCTTTATTCATCAGGGGTCGCCACAACAGATTGAACCACCAACAATTCCAGCATATGTTTTTCACAGCGGATGCCCTTCCATTTGCAACCCAGTACTAGGAAACATCCATACTCATTCACTACGGCCAATTTGGTTTATTCAATTCACCTATAGCGCATGTCTTTGGACTGTGGGGGAAACCGGAGCACCCGGAGGAAACCCACGCCAACACGGGGAGAACATGCAAACTCCACACAGAAATGCCAACTGGCCCAGCTGGGACTCAAATCGGTGACCTTCTTGCTGTGAGATGACAGTGCTAACCTCTGAGTCTCCCTAAATTGTATTACACAAATAATTATTTGGTAAATAATATATATTATATAATGTATGCACATAACTTTATATAGCAATAAATGAAAACATTTCTTTATTTTTTTCTTCTTTATTTAGATCTAAAATTATATTATATTTATTTATTTATTATATTATTTATTATATAAATATATTTAGATCTAAAAATATATAATATTTATTTATTTCGTTTATTATATTACTTCATTCATTCAGTTTCTTTTCAGCTTAGTCCCTTTATAAATCTGGGGTCGCCACAGCGGAATGAACCGCTAACTTATCCAGCACTGGTTTTACACCGCGGATGCTCTTCCAGCTGCAACCCATCTCTGGGACAATTTAGTCTACCCAATTCACCTGTACAGCATGTCTTTGGACTGTGGGGGAAACTGGAGCACCCGGAGAAAACCAACACGAACACGGGGAGAACATGCAAACTCCACACAGAAACACTGAATGACCCAGCCGAGGCTTGAACCAGCAACCTTCTTGCTGTGAGGCGACAGCACTACCTACTGCGGCACCGCAGTAGATCTAAAATTATATAATATTTTTTTAATTTAATTTATTATATTATTTATTATATAAACATATTTAGATCTACAATTAAATTATGTTTATTTATTTCGTTTATTTTAATATTTATTATATAAACATATTTAGATCTAAAATGGGCAGAAATGCATAATGAACAAATGAATGAAAGAATGAACTGTAAATAAATATTTCATTTATTTAGATCTAACAATTGACAGAAAATGTATTTATATATATATATATATATATATATATATATATATATATATATATATATATATATATATATATATATATATATATATATATATATATATATATATATATATATATATATATATATGAATGAATTGCAAATACATAATGTTAAATGTAAAAAGCGAATATCAACATTTTATTATAAGTATTAGAATATTACATCAAGCATTAATAAAAATCCAGACACAAAATATATCCAAGATCATTACAATAAAATGCAAAAAGCATCTAGAAATATATGTAAAAAAACGCAAACATTAAAAATGAAATATAAATAAATAAATAAATAAATAAATAAATAAATAAATAAGTAAAATAAATTCTAACATAATAATGAAAGCAATGAGACACAGTTAACGACAACAGCAGGGATCAGTATCAGAAAAAAATCCTCAATGAAATCAAACATACGTGATTTATTGTCCAGTAGCGTAATGACCTCATGCGCAGCAGCGTCAGGGGGCGTGGCTTTTCTCTCCTGCGTCTCTACTGCGCGCGCCAGTCTCTGCTCAACAAATTCATTGGTGTGTGTGTGTGTGTACACACTATGCGTGTGTGGATGGACATCACGGTAAACTTAAGTCTTACTGTACATTACAGATACACCGTAAACTAAAACTGGACGTCGTTTAAACAGGAATCAATCACCCGAGTCGTCGATTTCTACGTTAACCGTGTGGATTTGACGGACAGTCGCTCATTTACAAACCAGTGGACTTTGACAACCGCCGCCGCTTGGGTGAGTTTGCAGAAGTGACTTTGCAAGAGGCAAAACTGCCAGCCATTAGTGACTATATTGACATATTTTATATATTATTGCATATATCTGACGCTTCTAGAACAACAGTGACCATTGTAATATTGTTCGAGAATTTAAATTAAATCACTGTACGTTAAGTTAACGTTACCTCATTTGAACGGCGGTTAGTTTACGTTAAGTTAGGCATTAAATGAATGTATTACAGTTTGTTTGCTTTAATATCTCAGTTCTCAGACAGATGTGAGTTTGAATTGTGAGCTATAATTTGACGTTAGGCGGTAAACTCCACCCTGTGCGTACATTCATTCTCCAAATATGTTTAAAGATGATTAACGGAGCCGTAGCAGTGCTTTAATTGACCACTAGATGGTGCTGTTGTATAGTGCGTGTTACCATAAATTATGAAGTTTATGTGTCTCAGCTATTCAATGACAGTGGTCCACTTTGTAACTACTCTGAATTTTTAGCCCAAAAGACTTTACAGTTGTTGCTGATGCAATCCCACAAGATGTTTTTATGCTTTTTAAAGGACTTTCATTTCCAATTACTTGTCATTCAGTGGACCTTTGGAAAACATGTATTGGTAAACACTGCCTTTCATTATCTAAATCAAAATGCAATAAGGAAATAAGAGCCCTGTTTCTGGAAGATTCAGTTACTGTGCCTTATGTAATGTCATATTGGAATGTTTTTTTTTTAAATTATATTTCAAGGAAGAAAGTTTGGTCGTTTCCCTGCAATTGTCTTTTTTTAAAACAAACAAAATAAGAGAAGTTACCTTTAAAATTATTCATAGATGTCATTGCCATCCAGACAAGTGTCATCTTAAAAGGCTTAAGAATGATATTAACACCAACTGTTCTTTTTGCTTTGCGAATCCTGAAACTCTTCATTTAGTTTGGAATTGCCCTCATTTAATGCCATTTGGGTGTGATACTCTTGATTTTATAAAAGATTATGTGAAGGCAGATTTTGAATTTAAATTTGATAATGTTATTTTTGGTTTTCCTGAATGTGAAAAGAAAAATAATACTTATTTCATAAACCTTTTTTTTGTTTGCCAAATTTTATATTCAGAAAAGCTAGTTTTGCAAGTGTAAACATATTTTTTTATTTTTTTTTTAATTGAAATTAAAATGTATTTTAAGTCTATTGAGGGATCATCAATCTTAAAAGTAATAAGAACAAGGACTTTGACGAAGGACTTGACACTTGTCTTGGACTAAATCACTGAAAACCCCTGGATTGTTGTTGTTGATTGATGACATTTGTTGTTAATGTTTTTCCATTAGATAAAAACAGCTGTGGATATTCGCATCAGTGTAGCATAACTCAATGAAATATCAATATAATTGCTGAATTGCTGTGCAACAATAATTTTTACAGAACTGTGAGGGTTAGGAGGGAGTAAAATACAAATTAATGGGGGATTTAATAAAACGTATGAATAATACTTGGTATAATGTTTTTACATTACTGTGATGGTAGGGGTTAATGTTAATGAAATACAAATAATGAGGTAATTTAATAAATAATATGAATATTACTTGGTATAATTGCTGTTTTACGTTACTGTGATGGTTGGGGTAGGGGTAAACGTTAATAAAAACACAAATTAATGGTTAATTTAATAAATAATATAAATATTTCTTGGTAAAATTAATGTTTTCACATTACTTTTATGGCTGGGTTTAGGGTTGGAGTGGGGTAAACATAAATAAAATACAAATTAATGAATAATCCAATAAATAATATGAATAAAAAAATTTATAAGTAATTTAATAAATAACATGAATAAAACAGTATAATTACTGTTTTTACATTGATGATTGGGTTTAGGGTTGGAATAGGTGTAGACGTTAATAAAATACAAATGAATGGATAATTTAATAAATAATACAGTATAATTACTGTTTTTGCATTACTTTAATGGCTGGGTTTAGGGTCAGAGTAGGGTAAACGTTAATTAAATACAAATTAATGGATAATTTAATGAATAATACAGTGTATTTACTTTTTTTTTTACATTACTTTGATTGTTGGGTTTAGAGTTGGAGTAGGGGTAAATGTTAATAAAAACACAAATTAATGGTATATTTAATAAATAATATGAATATTTCTTGGTATATTTAATGTTTTTACATTACTTCCATGGCTGGTTTTGGGTTGGAGTGGGGTGAACATAAATAAAATACAAATGAATGGATAATTTAATAAATAATATGAATAAAACAGTACTGTTTTTTGCATTACTTTAATGGCTGGGTTTAGGGTTGGAGTAGGTGTAGACATTAATAAAATACAATTAAATGTATAATTTAATAAATAATATGAATAATACTCAGTATAATTAATAAATATAATTACAGTTTTTTACATTACTGTGATGGTATGGGTAGACGTTAATAAGATACAAATAATGGGTAAATTAATAAATTAAGGGTGCCCAAACATTTTCTTTTCTTATGAAGGGCCAAAAACAAACTTGATTGAGGGCTGTGGGCTGAAGGTAAATATACCAAGCTGTATTACAAAGTTTCCATGAGTAATTTCCTCGTTAATTTAAAAATAATAGAAAACATTATGCATATAAACTTATCCATTGTATATATATTTTTACATTTTATAATGAACCAATTATAATGAAAACAGAAGAATTCCCTTATAACATTATGGAGTTTAATGCTGAATACACTAGTCAAGCAGCACCTGCCTTCGTTTACAACATTTAATTGAAACATTTAATTCAAGTTTGTTTTTTTGTAGCTTGAAAATAAAAGTAACAAATGAAAGGTTATTAGAAATGACAATGTGTGTTAAAAACATTAACCCCAACCCTCCCCGAAATTCTCCCTCTCTTCTCAGATGGGATGGCGGGCCAGGTCAAATGTTACAATGGGCCAACTTTGGCCCATGTGCCCTAGTTTGGGCATCTCTGGTATAAATAATTCACGTTGACTTCCGGCAGCAGCTGTATCACTTGTATAGCAACTACCATGTATTGAGCAGTTGTTGTTGCTAAATAAAATCATACAGGATTTGCCTCTTAATATACAAAGTTTAACTTACAGAGTTTTTATTTTGTTTATTTGTTACCCTGACAGTCATTTTTAAACACTGAAAAAAAGAAAGAAGTGGAAGATGGAAAAAAAAAGTCATGCAGTATCAACAAGAGAGCCATAAATCTTATCATGCAATATTTTGTTGCAGTAGTTTGCTTTGTACAGTGCAAACAGAACCTTTGCTTTTTTCTTACTCAATTTTTACTCTGACTTTTACTTGCCCGCCTGCTGCAAATTATGCTTTTGTTATTGAATCATATCCATATTTTTGGATATGAAATAAATGGGTTGCAGTTGTGTGTCTGTTCTATATTTATATTGACAGCAGAGCATTTGTGTTTTATTTATGCAACAGTTTATGCAACAGTTGCTTAGTATGATATTTGGTATATCTGCGGTTAACGGTTTTGCACTGCATCTGAATTTGTGTTTGGGGATTAATATAACTTGATCTATCTATTTTTTTAGTACAGTAGTTTTTTAATATAACTCTTTCTTTTCAGTACAGTTGTTTGGTTTAGAGAAATGGATTGTTTTACAGTATGATGGATTGTGTCTGTCAAAAAGAGAGAAACCAGTTCTATTCCATACGCTTCACTTAATATTGCAAGACTTTGGGGGTTTTTTTTATTTTGCATATGAAGTCAGTTGTGTAATAGCTGCTTTTTTACACTTTGGCTTAGAAAACAAATGTTGCAATTATTTTTATTAAATCAGTCTAATATGTCAGTACTAAAGACATTTGCAGCGAGTCCACAGGGTCATAAAAAGTATTAAAAATTGATAAATCAATTTAGAGAAATTTAGGCCCTTAAAAAGTATCAAAAAGTCTTAAATGCTTTTTTTTTTTTTACAAGGTATTAAGTTCAGTATCAGTATGCTAAAGTTTACCTAAATTTAATCTTTAAATATATTGAGATGCTGTGTAGTTTATGAAATCAATAAAATCCTGCTGACATCACACTGCTTTGTTTACTGCAGTAACCGGGGAAACACTGTTTTATTTTAGGATTCGTTTCTTGCAATCAGTATTTAGTAAATTTTTATAATATGGTTGCTGGTTTAAGTCTGGTCGGCTGAGCCAGTTGGCATTTCTGTGTGGAGTTTGCATGTTCTTCCGTGTTGGCGTGGGTTTCCTCCGGGTGCTTTAGTTTCCCACACAGCTCAAAGACATGCGGTACAGGTGAATTGAAAAAACTAAATTGACCATAGTGAATGTGTGAATGTAGGAGTGTATGGCTAAGTTGGCGGTTCATTCTGCTGAGGCAACCCCTGATGAATAAAGGGACTAAGCCGAAGGAAAAAGAATAAATGAATGAATCAATGAATGAATGAATGAATAAATATATTAATATTTTGCTCTACTATTTAATTTTGAGCAAAAATGAGCCAACATCGAACATCTGTTTATGATCTGACATTATGTTGAAATGTTCATGCTTAATTTATTGCTCTGTATTTACATTATTTTTATAATAGTTTTGCTTTTAAAATAAGATTTCCTTTCACTTCAGCAAACAACAAGTAATTAAACGTATTGCTGTATACAAAAATAAATGCATATACCATAAAATAAGACAATAGAAATTTGCAATGTATAATTGTCAGATTTTAACCTGTAATAAAAATATTAACTTCAAGAAGGCAACTTATATTATTAATAAATATTGAGATGTATTACTCTTAGTTGGGCTACTGTTATTTTCATCATTAACAAATACAACCTTTTTTAAGTGTAAATAGTAGCTATTTAAAAATGCAAATGAGCAAAAAACATCTGCATTTTTATTAACTGAGGTTAACAAAGACTATTTAAAAACTAACAAATGTTTTCTTAGTTAGTACATGAAGAAATACACCAAACTCAAAGTGTTCCTAAAAATGTATCATTATAACTGATTTAAATCTGCGAGTTTGTATCAGGTCGTTCTTTATTTAGTATTTAATCTCATATAGGCAGCCCAACACTCTCGCTTCCTCACATTTACTGTCTGTTTTGAGCCCCAATCGCCTGTATTTACGTTTCTGCACGCTGAAGTGACTCTGTTGACAGCTTTACGGACAGGCTCCTCTGAATCCTTATATCCAAGACTGTGTGACGTGAGCGGGGAGGGCGTGACCCGGCCTCTCAGCCAATAGATTCAAAGTATGCGCGTGATTGACAGCTGAGCTTGGAAAATAGGAGGAACGTTCTTGCGACTTTATCCGTCTGGCTTTACTCTGTTGTGGAAGCCATTTTGGGATTTTCCTAGTAGTAATTGTTAGTCAAGCGCGTAACTTTTGGTGTTTTTTTCTCCCTCACGAAGATTGAAGGATTTGTATCTCGCGTTGGGGACGCAGGGGGATTTGTTTGTGTTTTCATTTGTGCGTATACCCGTCGAGATGCGCCACACGCTTTGCGCATCCTCGAACTGGATTGTCATTTCAGAACTGGACTACCTTCAAAACAACAAGAGATTGTAGAAACTGATGGTCAAACTGGCAAGTGCTTTAACGTTTAGTTGCTTTTTCTGATTTAATTCACGTCATATGCACAGATTCGTTATTGTTGAAGTGTAGTTATAATAATACAGTGTTTGGTGGACAGTCAGCGAAGCTCCTTTCTTTGCAAACTCTTGACAGAAAACATGGCCCTGCTTTAACTGTCACACACGCGAACGGAAATATTTATATACACTGTTTATGATACGTCACTCGAATCTTCATAAGTAAACACTCTGAAGTGCGCATTAAGGTAATAGAACTGCGCTGATATAGGCTACAGTGTTGCAATGCAAGGCTCTGTGTCAAAACCCACTCACTCTCCTACATAGATAGCGAAGTGGGAACACTTAAACAATGAAACCACTCGTTTTGTTCGGAAAATCTAATTTAATGTTATCTATATGCAAATGATGGTCGATTCTAATGTTTAGAGACTATTTGAAGTGCCTAAAAGTGCTGCCCAGACTAGTTTTTGAGACTCATCCAACGTTGCAATCCTAAATGTTGCAGATTTGAGTTGTGCGTTTGTTATGATTATGCATGCAAATGGAGATAACCACGCAGAAAGGCGTGAAGATGTGAATGAGTCGAGATAAAACATAAATCCCTGACTACTTTTTTGTTTGACTTGTGCACAAAGGAAGGAGCTCCTGGTTTTCACCATTGACTTGTTTCATTGCACCATTAGCAGCAGGTCATGTTTGGATAATTGCTCAGCTTGTCTGGGCTTGCGAAATGTGCTTTTTAGAAAAGGAAAAGAGGTGGGAAAGATTCTCTTTTCCTATTCAGCCTGTCTCTTGAGTGAGGAACAGTCGCTTTTGAGGATCTCGTGCACTTTTGAGAATGAGGAGGGATGCATTTAGAGGAAAGGTAAACAAAATTAATACTATTTTATACTTTCACTGAGAGATATCAGCATTTTAATCTTACCCGATTAATATGAAGTAATATTAATATTAATTAAATATTAATAATAATAATAAATCACTTCAGGACAGTTTTGAGAATTAGTATTATTTACTAAATTAACTTGACTTGCTAATAAAACCGTAGTAATTTTACAATTTTTATTTAATTTGACTTGGTAATGAGATTATAAAGGTAATCTTCTGAATTTAAAGTTAAACACTAAACTCTCAATGTATGTTTAAAGTTAAGGCTGACATAACAAACCATGGAAAAGTAAGGGATTTTTGATGTTTAAATGAAACAACATTAACATAATTTTATTCTTTCTTTATTCTGAATATTTTTGTAAGTGCATGCTCTGTTCAACACTTCTGAAAAATTCAGGACAGTTTTAAGAATAATAATTATTAAATCAATTATTTATTTTGACTAAACAATGAGTTTAAAGTAATCTACTGAATTTAAGGTTAAACATTAAACCCCTATGTGTGTTTAAAGTTAAGGCTGACATACCAAACCATGCAGAACTAAGGGATTTTTGTTGTTACGATTTTTAAATGTAATCTTAAAGGTCCATAGAAATGTCAGTAACATTTTATAGTATAATCTGTTTTGCATCAGTTAACACATAAGATATGACAATATTATACTATTATGATAAATAAACATCAAGTAAAATATTGAATTAAATAACTGAAATATAGGTTAAACTTTCAGATAAGGTTGCATTAGTTAATAATATATTGACTAATACTAGCAAACAATGAACAATACATTTATTACAGACAGTATTTATTTTTAGTTAATAGAAATAAAGTTGTTCATAACCTGTGGCGCATTACCTAATGTTAATTACAGGTTGTAATAAGTTTGAAATCTAGTGATACTGTATGAGTATCATTCATTATTAGTCCATGTTAATATACATTTAATAGAACCTTATTGTAAAATGTGACTGAAACATTATTGTGCAATGTACTCATTCTTTGCTATATTTACTACTTAAAATATATATAGCGCTTTAGGTTCAGTGTTCATTTATACTTCAATACATTACATTAGCAAACATTTAACTAATGCACTTGTTTAGTCATAAATGATTAGTTAGTTTGATTGAGTTTTAACTTGAAATGTTGTGTAATATTATTAATAATATATTGATTAATATAAAAAATACTTTAACCAACATTATTAATTACTCTGTTGTTTATTTGTAGTTCACAACACCATATTCATATCTGATCAGTAATCCAATACTTACCAAAATGTCTTTTGCACGAATTTGAGCAATACGTTTTATTAAATAATCAGTGTGATCGTATGAATACATGACTAGATTATTTATTTAACATAACGCCTTGCCCTTAACCAAAAATGTTTATCATTAACTGTAATAATATTTCAAATATTAGCACTATTATATCTGATATAAGAAATATTTAATCTTCTTGTTTTTGTTGTTTTGGTTACCTTTAAGCACTGTAATATGGGATAGGGATATTGAAAAGGAAATGCATTTTAAAGCATCCGTGTGAAAACAAACCTGGAAAGAAGAAAAACAAGAGATCCATTGTGTATTCCAGTCAAATATCCATGGAATATATCGTCAAGAGCAAACCACAAATTCCTACTAATCTTTTCTTGTTTTCCACATTCTTACAGCTTAATGTAGAGGAAAAATAATCGGATTATAATAAAGAAAGAAAGTAAAAATATATCAAGCGTTCATTTTCTACTTATACTCTGTTTGTGTTGGGACAGCATAAATGAAATAAGTTAGCATACTATTTTTTACAAATGTAACCGGATTGAGCAGAAAACATTTAAGTTGTTCCCAAAAAAATGAACTCAAGAATTGTGTTGTTTCAGCTCATTTTAGGTAGTATGAACCAACAGCAAACATCGTTTTTTGAGTGTAGCATATCACATTAAAATACTAAACATAGAAAATAAAGGAACGTTTACAATTGATTCAGTCAAACGAATAAATAAGGATTATTTGTAGAGTAATGAAACTTTCCCAAACCACAAGTTCCTCCCATAATTTAAAAAGGAGTAGACTCATTCAGGAAAAAAAATGCTCAATACAAATCAAGTTAACTTAATTGTTTTTACAAATATCAGTGCATTAAACATAAACAATTAAGTTGTCCCAAAAAACTCAAGAATCGTGTTGTTGCAGCTCATTTTAAATAAATAGATTAAACAAGCAGCACAAAGTATTTTTCAAGTAAGTATACTGAATATAATGTGGCTCATAGTGCTGCACGATTCTGGCTAAAATGTGAATCATGATTTTTTTTTTTTGCTTAAAATCAAGATCACGATTTTCTCACGATTCTTTGGATGTAAAATAAAGGTTAATATGAGTAGGCTATTATTACTTTTAATTCTCAAACATATCGTCACCTTGGAATTATGAGGTTTTATCTGCATTCTGAATGATTTTGAGATATTAAGCTTGAAAGTTTTTGCAATCCATATACAGTAGCAAACAGTATGTGTGTAACAAGTCCTAAAATGTGCAAACCATCCACAGCCTATAATGAATGCCATTTAAATATATAAATTTGTTTTAGTAAATGTGTTTGGTGTTTTCTTTTTATTTAGTAAATAATGCACGTTTCTATTCAGGCCGTTTGAATTTATTTCGATGTACAAACAAAAAATGCTTGCTGAAAAACTACTAGGGATTTAGACATTTTGTGAGACCTGTATACACATGAACACCTCCACTTAACTGTCCTCCTCTTATTTGCATCGGTTCTGGACAGCGCTGTTGATTTCGGATGCGTAGGTAGGGACCGCCACACTTCCTGTCCACTTGACAACAGCTAATAAAGTAGAAAAACAAAGGAAACTAAAAAAAAGCTCAGTTTACTATGAATGTTTATAATCTCCACAAGCTTTACATTCAGTCACCTGCATCAGACTAAACAAGTAAACCAAAGCAGTTCATCAGGATTCTTCCAAGAGACAGGCTGAACTGTAGGCCGTGTGTGTGTGTGCGCATTGTGTGCGTGTTTTCATGGGTGTGACTGATGTTTATATGCAAAGGTCACACCCATCGGAGTCACACGTCGGCTGGTGTAGTTTTAGGAGTTTGCTCTTGACATCTGGTTTGATCTTCACAGCGAGCTCAGCGTGTCACCATGGATTTTTCCCGTCTGCACACGTACACCCCTCCTCACTGTACTCCGGATAACACCGGATATACCTATTCACTCAGGTGAGACTTAATCATGCTGGCAAAGTGGAAATATTTGTGCTTTGTTCTTCATTATGTGTGTTCTTCAATGCATCTTAATAGTCTGCTAGAGACGACTTATAACAGCGTTCAGCAAAGGATTAGTAGTTTCCATTGTAATCGTGGCTGTATAAATAAATAAACTGTGACTCACAATAAATACAAACACACACAAAAATATTCACTAAGCAAATATATTTTAGAATTGTAAACCAGGAACAGCAGTCAAGCTGAATCTGTGTCTTGTTTAAAGCAAGACACTGCAGGTTAATAAAACATAAAATGAACAATATTAATGTCTTAATAATAAAACCTTTTAGTTTATTGATTTCATTAAGAATCGCAAATATTTTTATGTATTGCAAGTTTTAAATATGCAAGTTTAAGTATGCTGTCATTTGCATATTCTTTTTGAAAACTTGTATTACATAAAATACAATAAATAACAATTAATAAAAAATATTAGTGATTTATTAATTAAATATGCACCAATTTGCATATGTTTTGTACAAACATTTGAATATTTACTAGGACACAGTTTGGTTAAAAATGTTTTTATATATATATTTTTTTTTTTACATATTAGAGTCAATTGTTTTTACTTTTTACAGAGGAGATTTTATCTTCATAAGTTTGATTTCTGAAACTCTGAAAATAATACTAATTATATCTAATAATAATAAAAAAAATCTGAAAATATTGTGAATAGCCAGGCAGGGGGAAATATTATTTCTTTGATTTGATTAAGAATCACATGTATTTTTGTATTATAAGTTTTGTATAGTGCTGTTAAAAAATGCAAATGTGGAGTTATGTAATTATGCACTAATTTGCATACACTTTCTGTACAAAAAACTGTAAAAACAAACTTGCACAGCTTTATGATTTTATTAACTAGTGCAAATTTTTTTTTGTATTCCAAGTTTTCTAAAATGCTGTTAAAAATGAAATTAAAACAATGCAAATAAGGTTCTATTTATTTATACACTGATTTGCATATAATTTCTGTACGAAAAACTAAAGAAAAAAAACTGCCACAGTTATGATTTTATTAACAATCACAAATATTTTTATGTTACAAGTTTTATAAAATGCTTTTTTAAACAGAATGAAGAATGCAAATGAGGGATTATTTAATTATGCATTGATTTGCATATAATTTCTGTACAAAAACCTGCAGGAAAAAAAAATTCAGTTTAATAATTTTAATAACAATTGCAATTATTTTGTGTTACAAGTTTTCCAAAATGCTATGTAAAAACAGAATCAAAAATGTAAACTGGGGATTATTTATTCACGCACTAATTTGCATACATTTTCTGTACAAAAAATTTAAAAAACTGCCTCATTTATTTTATTTTATTAACAATTGCACATATTTTCATATTACAAGTTTTCTAAAATTGCTTTTTAAAATGAAAAATGCAAATGAGGGATTATTTAATTATCCACCGATTTGCATAGAATTTCAGTACAAAAAAAACCTTTCACAGTTATTTTTGTATTACAAGTTTTCTAAATGCTGTTAAAAATGAAATAAAAACAATGTAAATAAGGGATTATTTAACCATGCACTGATTTGCAGATCATTTCGGTACAAAAAACAGAAAAAAACTGCCACATTTTTATGATTTTATTAACAATTGAAAATATAAATTTTTAAAAATATTTTATTTGAATATTTTAAATAAGTTTAAGTTTTTTAAATGCTGTTTAAAAATGGAATCAAAAATGCAAACTGGGGATTATTTATTTATGCACTGGTTTGCATACATTTTCTGTACAGAAATGGCAACATTTGGATGAAATCTGGTTTAAAAAAATCTAATTTTTTTTTCGACATATAAAAGTTAAATGTTGATAATCTTTTTGTTACTCCATAATTCAGCCTGGATTTAAAAAAAATAATTTTGTGTAATATAAAATGTACATAATCAGGAAAGCTATGATTGATTGTATTCATCTGTAAAAACAATCAGAAAATTGACATTTGGTCTTTTTAAAATTAGGCCTTTTGAGAAAACAACCTTTAAACAAATATGTATAAAATTAAAAACTATAGACACAGAATGGATAAAATGCTGTAAAAGAGACACTTAAAAGTTCATTTTGCATCTTTTAATTTTATCCAGATAACAAAAACACTATGAAAAGCCAAATGACCCAAATCTCAATAAGAACAAGTGGATGAAAAAAAAAAAAAGTTTTCCCCTCCAATGTCTCCCCTTAAGTCTTGTGTGTTTTTGATCACAAAGCATGTGATGAGTGATGAAACCTTCACTTGTTGTACCTTGCAGACGTTATGTGTTTTTGATGGCGGTTTGGTCGTTCTCCAGCATTTGTATTCAGGTGTAGCTGTATTATTAGTGTGTCAGATGGATGACAGAATGCAGGTGTGTCTTCACAGTTATTAACCTTAGGCAAGCTATGAACTTACACAGAATTAATGGCTGGGTAATGTACATTTGTGGAATGATACATTGGTTGTAAATCTTTTTTTTTCCCCAATTAATGGTTTGCTGAAAACAGTGTAGTTCACAAAAACAGTGTAATCGTGGCTGTTGTGACGTTTCATGCAGATAACATTTTATACCTTACATGTCTGCTTTGACTGATAACACTTCTACACTTAAATGGTCTATGAGACATACAGGGATAAAGCTACTAAGAATTTAAAGATCTTCTAAAGTGTTGGTTCTGCTTTTGAACAGTCTATAGACATTTACATTTACATTTACATTTAGTCATTTAGCAGACGCTTTTATCCAAAGCGACTTACAAATGAGGACAAGGAAGCAATTTACACAACTAAGAGCAACAATGAATAAGTACTAAAGGCAAGTTTCAGGTCTGTAAAGTCTAAGAAGGGAAGTGTTAGTAGTTTTTTTTTTTTTTTTTTTTTTTTTTTTTTTTTTTTTTTTTTTTTTTTTTGTACAATTAGTGTGATATTCAAAGAGGCAATTGCAGCTTAGGAAGTGAAGTGGAGACTAAATAGTTGAGTTTTTAGTCGTTTCTTGAAAATAGCGAGTGACTCTGCTGTTCTGATGAACAGTCTATAGAGAATGCTGCATCTGAAATTGCTGCACAATATCGTTTCAGCATGGCTATCACTATGTGTAAATCCACAATTGTCACATTGCAAGTGTGCCACGAGTCGCTGCTTTATCAAATTTAGAACTGTAACGTTTATTATTTGCATGTGTTTTTAAGGCCTTTTCAAGAGAGTTTAAAATATTTGAACCCCAAAAATGATGAAGATGCTTGTAGGTGTAACAAAGATGAATTGCATTTTAATTATTTATACGATTTATGCAAAAAAAAAAAGTTTCTTTACAATTTTTTTTCTTGGTTTTTAGTTGAAATATCTACATTTCGAAGCGAAAATATGATCGTTTTAATTTCCCTGTTGCAAGATAATTTAACTTGTTTTAAAGAAAAGCTCTTCATTCTGAGGTGAAAACTAATCAACATTTTTACTTGATCTGAGATTCTTTGATATTTGGACGAAGCGAAACTAAGAAAAGTATGTTTTGCATTGTGACTAATAGGGCTGGGCGATTTAGCAAAAAAAAAAAAATCTAGATTTTTTTATGAAGTTTGACCAATTCACGATTTCGATTTTTTTTTTTTTTTAATTGTGTTACTAGTCTTCTCAAAACATTACAACAACATGACTGAAGTAACATTCTCTTTAAAAGTAACTTGAAAAACCATCTGGTTAAGGAACATTGTATTTTTAATGGCCATGTCATACAAAAATCGGTCAAGGTGTAAATAAATGTAAAACAAATTCATGAGTTAAATAGCGTTGCTGAAGATTTGAATAAGAAATATTTATGTAAATATTGCAGTTGCAGGAATACAGAGGGGTTTTTGGCAAGTTTTGCTGAGCCTAGGAAAGATTGACTGTCAGCTCGGCTTTGACTTTGTCTTCTGATTGAATGACAGGTTGTAAAGCTGCTGCCTTTTTCTTAAAAAGATACAGTGGAAGAAAAGGACTGAACATGGAAACTGTAAAGCCTAATTTAACCCAGTGTTTGAAGTTGTGGACGTATAGCAGGAGCAAATACAAGCACCAGATGTGTGTCTAATATAAAATAATATATTTAATCTATTTTTCTTTTTTCCCCCTTTTAAATACCGATCATTGGATGCGCTTTGCTCCACTCTTTGTATTATGCTGCCTGATCTGTCTGGTTTTCAACTAGGTCCGCTAAATGACATCATGGGGGCGGGAATTCTAAAATCCATAGCATGGTGCTGTGCGTTGCGTCGCCGAGAGGCGCTTATGGTGTGCTTCCTGCTTCATACCGAGAGTGAACCAAAGCGCATTGGTGCCATTATAATGTATTAAATAAAAAAAAATTTTAATCGCGATTTCTCGATTTTATTCAAAGTTAAATCGTCTTAATGTAAATTCGAATTAATCGAAAAAATCGGGAAAATTGCCCAGCCCCAGTGACTATTTAATTTCTGTACCTGAATTCTGTTAGTTTCCCCAGAAAACTGTCAAATAGAGCTATTCAAACCATCTTGTGAAACCGTATTCATCTTGCAATATTTATAGCTGAAAAATTCAATACTGCAATACAAAAAAGGTAATGTGATGCTTTCCACATCTAAAGCAGGCCTATTTAACTGTAGGAAACATCTCACGCCATAGCGGTGAAAGTTGTGTGTGGCTTTTAGTGCAATGTTTACAAAAGATATGTTAGACGAATTTTTTAAATGATTATGTTTGTGTGAACACACGACAACAACCATTCATTTAAATACTTACCTAATATACAGCTTAAATTTACATTAGATGTGATAACCTTGAAACTTTGATTATTTTTCAGACTTTGGGACAACCAAAATCTATAATTGTTGCATCCATAATTGTTGTGCAGTTCAAAACATATGAATGTGTCTGAATGTAGAAGAAGCCTACTTCAGCAATGCACTGTGCTTCGAAATATTTGAATGTTTGTTCAAAAAAA